TCTGTAGTATCAATAGCAGTACTTGAGTAGTCATTTTATTAATTTTGGATATAATGGGGCCTCATATGAAGGCTTTCTGTGCAGCTTCTTATGAGACAATTTTTGCAAACTAACTGTTCTCAGTTTCCATCCCATGCTGTTAATAGATCGGTTTGCTTTTTGCTCTAAATAGCCTTTTAGCTTTTCTGATACCTACTGTGGTTTTGATTAGTAAGAATGGATGATGTAGTAAAATATTAGCATTGTATAATGAGTCAGTTTTGCCTTAGCGTAGACTATTTTTTGCCTGAATCATGTTATGGTTCATTAAACTTGGATGGGAGCTGATTGCCAGCTCAGAAACTGCTCATGGTAATTATAAGACTAACTTGGTTGATCACCAGAAGTCTGCAGGGGAGGAAAAATCACATTGCTTGTGCTTCCAGAAATAGCTTAATTTTGATGAGCAGGAGCCTCATCTCGCTGAAGTTCTTTAATTACTGATAAAATACAGTATCTGTCTTGTACCTGAAATACAGAAAGTAGCTCCCAGTAAATGTCATTGGCATATGTTTATATCCCATATGCTAATGAGTTGGATATCACAGAAAGCATTTATGAGGCAACTGCAATTGGTAACTGAGTAACTCTTGTTCCACATGCAGAGCGTAAGCAATTCAGAAACATAATGTCACATGCGTGGGGACGTGTTGTCCATGGTGTGTGTTGTACATGAGTAGCAGTGGTAAACTTTGAGGCTTTCGGCATTATACTTGAATCTGGCTTTCTTGCTTTGCAGTAATTTTTGTTTGGATTTATCCTTTCTCTGACTTGTGTAATTCACCCATGTCTGAATGCATGCTACATACCACTCGTGTATATGAATCTGGCAATCAAAGGAAAGTAAACCAAGCTTTTCTTTGTTTTAATGGCTTCCTAATGAAAGAGAATAAAACTTCTGTGAAGGCTAAAGACAATACAAAGCGATAAACTATTAGCTAGCTTCCCAATTAAAATAAGGCACTCTCTACTGCAAGAGCTAGGAGGCAGCACTTCAGGTTACACTGGAACATGCTGAGTGAAAGGTTGAAGATGTAACTAACTGTTGCAGAAAGAGAAGGTTAAGAGTTACTTCCTGTCTAATCTTCAGAGGACAGTTTAGCCTCCTAGGTTTTGTGACAGAAGTATACAAATGGTCTAAAAAAAGGGGCAATAAACTTCAACATTTGACACAGCTGGAGGTAATGGGTGTCTTTTGTGGTTAATAGTCTTGAGGAAAAAATTTGGTACTTGCTGGTCTTCAAACAGCTTGGACTCTTGTTAGGTTAACAGTTTGTGCTGTTGCAGAAACAAGAGGCCTGCCTCTTCATATTCCCAGCCAGCTAATGAGCTTCAGAAAGAAAACAAAAACAAAAACCAACCACCAAAAAAAAAAAAGCCAACCCACACTTGTGGCTTGCTTCCTTCATCACCTCAGTGGCATAAAGACACAGGAAGAACAAGTAAAGATTTGGGGTTTTGACAGCAAAAGGACCTTGCTGCTGGCTAGGGTGACTGCTTGCTCTTAAATGCAAACTGTACTTTTCTGCTCCTTGCAATATCCTTCTGCTGTTGGAACACAGTAAGCTACTTCTTCCAGGATAACATATATAGGACATATAATAGGCTCAAAATAATAATTCTCTAGATGGCTTTATGCATCTGAATACTGATCCAGTGCAGAGATGCTTGCGGCACCTAGACTGGAGTGCAGGTAAAAGGGTTCAAGAAGAGAAAGTACAGTGTGCTTTATTACATTAGTGAGCTCAGGTTTCTCTTAGCTGCTATATTGGCCGTTCATGATGAAAAAACAGCAAATGCTTAGATAATTTTATCATTGCTTGCCTATCTGAATGTTTTTGTGTTATATGTCTTTCTAGGAAGGAACAAAGTGTGAAGTTCCCTGAAGACTTTTCAGTTAACCTTCCTAATCTTCTTAAATTTATTTTACATCACTCAAGTTTTTCTTCATCAGAGCCCTGTACCAAAGAATGCCTACATAAAGAGACAGTTCTGCAGCAAGGACATATCTCCCACTTAGAGAGAGAAATTCAGAAGTTAAGATCAGAAATCACTGCCCTTCATCAGGCCCATGACCAGCTTGAAGCACAGCTTTCCGAAGCTAGGAGAGAGGAACACAGACTACAGCAGCAAAAACACACACTTGAAAAACAGCACAAGACACTGCAGCTCCACAGTGAGCAGTTACAGGCCACATATGACCAGAAGAATCAAGAATTACTAGCAATGGCTGAAAAGCTTCAAGAATTAGCTGATGCATCAGAAAACCTCCTTAAAGAGAATACTTTACTGAGAATCCTGGTAGCATCAAGGGAAGGAAAGCTACAGAGCCAAGATAGAATTAAAGAACCCCTTCAATCAGAGCAGACACTTTCTGAAGATAATTCTGAAGTTTCAACAGCTACTGACACATTAGAGGAAAAAAGGATTGATAAGATTGATACCACAGAGACAGAACACAGTAGTGGAAACAGGACAGAATGATTACTTATACAAAGTCAAATGATGCAGTATTGGGTAGGTATTTATGCAAATTTTATTGAAATTCATTGTAAATAAAGACTTCTTCCCCCACATGATCTAGAAAAAGAAAAATCAAATGGAATATTTTTGTATACTTGAACAACTTACTAGATACCCACATCTAAAGAGAAGAGGAGAATGGAAAACACTTTCTGCACTTTACTATTGCACTACCTTGCAAATTTTCCATTTAAATTGAAGACTGTGATTTTTTTAGGGGTAGCAGTGTGAAGCACTTCTGACTCAGAACCAGTTATTTCTCACTGGCTTTCTCTTACAGCTGCTAGAAGAGAAATTAGACCTTTGATTTCTATTTTTCCATGATTTCTGAAGTTTACCCTTTACACTGCATTTCCTTTGCTGAATTAAAAGAGATACTTCATCTGTGTAATCAGTGAACTTGAATGGACAAAGTCATCTTGCTACAACTATTCTGTCCTAGAACTTCAGCACTGTGTATCACTTTTGTATACCAGTTATTTGACTGTCTTGAAACCTGCAAGAGCCATGTGTAAACTGATCTCTACTGAAAACTGAGGAGTCTTACTGAATTAACCCTTTTCTTCTTAATTTGTAAGAAGTCTAGAATATGACAGTTTAAGCATATGAGTCTGGCTATACATGCAAGTCTCACGACACTAGTATCTTCCAGAAAAGCATGTGGCAGGGTAAAAAGCTGTACCCCATATTGTAGGCAAGAGCAGGAGCTTTCTGCTACTTGACAGCATTAATTTTATTTCAAATTATACCCTTCAGTTAATTTTTAGTGCTACATTTGCCTTTTTAAGTCAACATCTTACTGCAGAAGGCGCAAGACTTTTGGCTAGGCTCTTAACTGTCTTGCATATAGTTAGAGTTCTCAAGGAAGCTTGCTAGGCTTGTGTTACTTACTCCATATGTACAGGTACAAGAAGCCAGTCTAATGATGTCTATATAGCTGAAGAACTTGAACTTCATTATTTGTAACTTATCTCAGGGAACAGCTTTACAGAATTTTTCTCTCCTAGGCAGTTAAGTGTTTAAATGTTTCAGTAGGCAAAGGAAGCTATCTATAAAGTCACAGAAAACAGGTCAGGGTCCTCCAAGCAAGTGTGCCTACCCTAAGAGGTTTAGAATATGTAAGCTGCCACTAGTGGCTCAGTGTTGTTCTTTCTCCTCCCCTTTCTGTCCCCTCTCCTCCTGCTAAACCTTTGAGGTCCAGGACAATCTCTTTAAGACATCTTGTTACAGTTCCTATAGCTTAACTATAGCACAAAGCAGGATCTGGAAGGGGTGTCCTTATTTGTAAGGACTTTGCCATTGCTAGCTAAGAACTTTTACAAACTGAACAGCCAATCTCCTTGCCCATTTTTATAGGAAAGCCTGAAATTTATCTTGTAGTAGTACAGTTAAATCAAGAGAGTTATCTACAAGATATGTTAACTGAATTCTATAGTTAACTGTTTGTAGACTAAAATGCCTTTTTACAACAGGCTGTTAACATATACCATAACTGCTAGGTACACAAACAGGAGTTCTGGGAAAATTTCATACTAGTTGCACTGAAGTAACCACTTCTGCAGTTTCAGCATGCAGACCTACAGAAGAGAAAAGCCTGCTCTACTGCCATTTCAAACTCCTGGAAACCTTCTGGACTGTCCCAAGGGTTCAGTATCCATCATTAGTTCCTAGGCTGGTCCCCATCAAAATGGCAGTTTCCTTGCAGTAGCTACATAGTTAGAACACTCAGTTCTAGCAGCCAACAGCTTAACCTATGTAGCTGCAACTAAAGGAAGTCACTTCCTTTCTCATAGCTCCCGTGTTTCCTCCCTCCCCGTGTTACTGAAGGATTATACCTTGCTTTCAAAGAAGGTACTCTGATCAGTTCAATAAACTGTTAAGAGAGAGTTCTGACTTTATGGCTGTGCACTCAAATTAATAGCAGAAGCAAGCTTTAACTGCAGATTTGGTTTTGAAGGTC